CTTCCCTTGGTTTTACGTCCAAGAACGGCTTAAACGCCTCTCTATGATCGGGGATAGGCTTCCCATCCAGTTTTCTTAAAAACTGGCAAACATGGTCTTTTTTAGTAAGATTCCCAAGACTAAGTCAATCATGCTCTTTATGAAAATTGAGATATAAATCATGAATTGCACCATGCACATTTCCACTAGGATGCGTCTTAAGAGTTAATAGAAGATTATCTAAAGACTCCTTACTCAAGTCATCCTTAATGAATTGTATTTTTATCTTCACGGTTTATAGATAGCATTTCTAAAGAACGACATTATCCATTACAAGTTCATCTGGCACATCGATGATAGACTTTCAGTCGTTTTGCATGACATTTCTTTACAAATATGTACCAAAATCCACCGCACCAATTTAGCCTTAGAATCTTTCTTAAAAAGAAGATATTTCAATGCTACATGATCACTAAAAACAACAGTAGATAAGCTAGCAAAATAAGACCTGAATTTTTCACATGTAAATACTACTACAAGTAATTTTTTTTAGTGGTGGTGTAATTCATTTGAGTATTATTTAAAGTTTTACTTGCATGGTAAATCACATAAAGTTTCTTATCTTTTTTTTTTTATCCCAAAACAACATTTATGGCATAATCACTAACATTACACATTATTTCAAAAGATAATGACCAATCAGGAGGTTAAATGACAAAAGCATAAGTAAGCAATTTTTTTAAGTTTAACAATGGCTTCTTCACAATATTCAGTCCATTAAAAAATATTATCCTTTATTAGAAGGTTACTTAAAGGCTTAAATATTATACTAAAATCTTTGATGAACCTTCTATAAAAACTAGTATATCCTAAGAATGATATAACATCTTTAATAGATTTTAGTGTTGGCAAGTTAACAATTAACTCAATTTTAGATTTGTCAACCTCAATTTCTTTTAATGAAACAATATGACTAAGTACAATGTCGTTTGTTACCATAAAATGACATTTTTCCCAATTCAGTACAAGATTCTTCTCTTCACACTTGCCCAAAACCTTTTCTAAGTTAGTCAAGCAATCATCAAATGAATTGCCAAAAATAAAAAATCATTTATAAAAATCTCATGAAAATGTTCAACCATATCACTAAATATACTGAGCATGAATCTTTAAAACGTGGTTAGTGCATTACATAATCCAAAAGGCATCCTTCGATATGTAAAAGTACCAAATGGATATGTGAAAGTAATCTTCTCTTGATCTTTCAATGCAATTTTAATTTGGTTGTAACCTAAATAGCCATCTAGAAAACAATAAAATCCATGACCTGCAACTCTTTCTAGGATTTGATCCATGAAAGGTAAAGGAAAATGATCTTTTTTAGTCATTGAATTAAGTTTTCTATAATCAATACACATGCACCAACCAGTAACAGTCCTGCTAGGAATTAACTCATTGTTCTCATAATGACTCTAGACTTCTTAGGTACAACTTGGATAAGACTTACCCATTTGCTGTCAGAAATAGGATAAATGATTTCATTATCTAGAAGCTTAATGACTTCATTTTTCACTACTTCTTTCATATTAGGATTTAGCCTTCGTTGCATTTCTCTAGAGGGTTTAGCATTTTCCTCTAAATAAATTCTGTGTGTACAAATCAAAGGACTAATTCCTTTTATATCAGCTATGGTCCAATCCATCATAATGCATTTTTGTATATTTTTAGAGTTTGTAATAACTTATCTTTTTTATGTGCATTAAATTTGAAAGAGATTATTACCAAAAAAGTTTCATTTTCTTTCAAAAATGAGTATTTGAGATTGAATGACAACAACTTCAATCAGGTTTGAGTGGTTGAACACTTGAAGGTATGGACTTAATTAATCGTGGTGGCAATTCCTCAATTTATAATCTCCAATTACTTGCCTTTAATTATTCTTGAAAATAAATAATTTGCAAATCATCAGATTCATCAATCTTAATTTCATTAGAAGTGGTTTGAAATTGATCATAAATTAATTTTTCAGTAAAATCCACTTCATGTAAATCATTATCATCACAGGTTGCTTGCAAATGTTGAAAATATCCATCTCCAATGTCATGTTTTCAAATGATAGCTTCATCAGTCCATTCCTATAATTAATCAATGCATTAGAAGTTGTAAGAAACAGACATCCTAAAATAACAGGAAATGAATTACATGCTTCAACAGGTTCTGTGTCCAAGACAATAAAATCCATAGGATAAATGAATTTATCAACTTATACTAACATATCTTCAATTATTCCTCTAGATACTTTTATAAATCTATCAGCAAGTAAAAGAGTTACAAAAATTAATTTTAACTCGCCTAGATTGAGACTTTGAAAAACTGAATATGAAAGTAAATTTACACTGGCTCCAAGATCAAGTAAGGCTGTTTCAATTTTATATTCTCCAATAAAGCAAAAAATTATAGGACAACCAGGGTCTTTATATTTCAAAGCATTATTGTTCTGAAGAACGGCACTTACTTGTTTGGCTAAAAAGGCTTTATTTTTCACATTCAGTTTTCTCTTCGCAGTGCATAGATCTTTTAAAAATTTAACATAGAAAGGAATCTGTTTAATAGCAACCATCAAAGGTATATTAATTCTTACATATTTAAAAGTTTTAAAATTTTCAGAGTTGTGATTGATTTTTCTTTGTTTGGTCATGGCATGAGGAAATGAAAGTGTTGGTAGGAAATCAATTTTTTCTTTGCAATTTTCAGATTCAACATCTTCCTTACTCTCGGAGACTGACTCATCATCTCTCTCACAAGATTCAAGAATGGGTTTTTCAATAACCTCACCATTACGAAGAGTAGTAACTGATTTGACTTGATCTATGTGTTAGCTTCCAGAACTACTTGCATTTGCATTGTATTTGCATTGTATTGACACTTAGGATTTTATTATAATTGAGATGAAAATTTATCTTTTTCTTGAAAACTGAAAGTAGATGTCAATTTTGTAAAAGTATCTTTAAAATATGTCATGTTTTGAGCGAGAGACGTATTGATTGTCTCTTCCTTTTTAATGAATACAGGCAATGTTTCCTCAAAATTTCTTCTAAGAGATGGAACATAAAAAATACATATCAAATTTTGTTTTTTTTGGAAATTATGATATATTTGAAATAGTGATTGTGAAGTTTGTATATTGAACAAAATGCGAAAAAAAAAAAAAAAACTATTTGGTCGGCATGGAATTAAGTGGAACTGATGCGAAAAAAAAAAATATTTGGTCGGCATGGAATTAAGTGGAACTTTAAAACAAACTGAAATTCTGAACAGATAAAATTTGTTCTTATTTGTTTGGTTTTTTAAATTGAAACAAGATATACCGTATATTCCATTAAAAAAAAAAGAATTAGCAACCTTGATTTCATGTACTGAATGAAAGGTCTTCATGAATCAAGGGTCCTCCGCGAGAATATATATATATATATATATATATGGGTGGTCAGTCTGTCTGTTCACGGGTCATTGTTGTAATACAATTTACACCACATGCAAGCGAGTGGAAGTTTTCATCATGGAGACTAGTGGCTGTCATATTTCCCTACTGATACTAACATGAACGTTTCACACGTTTTCCCCATGAAATTCAGATTTTCAATACTGGTTGCCTTTGATTTTTGCATCAATTCATCAGATATTTCCTCATGCAAATCTACATAGAATCTTAAAAAAAATTTCTTTATGCAGACGAAATTACATATGCAAATCTACTTTTTGATGATTTTTCTCATTATTTTATTTCTTTTTCATTATCCCATGTGGTTCCATGTTGTAAGGAGGTGTCGGTAGTCGTCACCTACATCCATATTCATAAATTGCATGATTAGTTCTTTACCTGTGAAGTTAGGCATCAATAAATCCGAATGAAATATTAAGAAAACAAAAAAGAAAGAAACAATTTTTGCATGAAGCATGGGGCTGAAAGGCATCAATCAATCCTCCATCTCTCAAGAAAATATCTTCAAATAGTGTATAGAAGAGGTTGGAGCACTAGTAAAGTTGGGAATTCTTATACGTTTAACTAAGCTTGGAAAATAATCCTTCAAGGAGGTCTCGCAAATCAAACCAAATAGGGTGGTGTGATTTTTTGTGATGAACAAGTCCTGGAAGTGCATGAAGCAAGACCCATTGCATGATAGAATTGGTAATTTGATCCATCGGGATGTTACTGGGGTTTCTATACCAAGAGCTTGTGATCTTTAAGCTTATTAATCCCTTGTGCAGGTTCATAAGATCAATAGCGTTGGAGGCAGGACGCTACAAGCTAAATATATAGTCTCCTTGTAAGAACTTCAAACTCCACGTGGTTCAGTTGCTTTATTGCTTGTTGCTTTCAATCAATTAGAAGCTACTCAATGATTTTAACACAAAAATCATTACTGTTTAAGAGTTCTACATGGACATCCAAATCCTATATTGTTTTTGGTCCAGGTCTAAGAGCAGGTTAGAAATCATGTTTAAATCAATGCCTGGTGATTGATGAGGTCACGGATGAAACTAAGATCAGATATTATATAGAAACACTAGAAAGACAGTACACTATTACGCGTAAGCTACTGAAAACTCCAGAAATGAAGAACTGTACAGAACTGGTGGAGAACATAATCTATTCATCATTTTTCATTTAAACGTTCACAAATGTTCAAACTTTGCGTTTAAAAATAGTTATGCCCTAACTCATTACATAGCTGCAGATCTCCATCATAAACATAATCTCCAGTACCTTACGACATCCCACCACCAGTAGCTGTTCTAATTATCTGAAAAGGAACTGAAGGCCACACAAAGGAATGCATTGAAGTTCAGCACTGAATGCATAGATATCAAACCTAGTTATAACCAATGAAGTATAGAACACAATTCGGAAACAACAAGATAATGATGTTGTAGTACCCTTAACAACTAACCAAGATAAACATTTCTTTCAAACAATCTCTATTTCTCACTTAAGCAGTGACAGATAAACTTTCATCCACGGTATCTCTCTAAGAATCCTATCTAACCGGGCGAAGACACAAGTGAACAGACTAACAAAATTATCATATCAAAACTTTGACCATCAGGCCGCAATCAATCGGCAAACCAAGGCAAACAAAACTGCAAAACTTGCCAAAATTCCACTAAGAGATCAACATTTTTGCTGCAATGCTCACCAATGAAACTGCGAAACTAAAGTCAAAATTGAGCATTTACCATTAACACCAACACTTTAGTTCTGTGACACAATTGATATGAGCAATATCCATTTCTAATTATCCCATTACATTTCCATTTTCACGTCTTTCTTTTCTCCCATTTGAAACTCTGTTCAGAGAGAAAAAAGTTGTTCAAGGGAAAAAATAATATATATATATATATATATATATAAACACTGGACAAGTTTTAGCAAAAAGCAAAATGATCCACTAAAATCAAACATTTATTCAAGATTCAACAAAAGAAGCCTCTTTTCACATTTTTAGACCCAACCTATCAACTAAACTGAAACATAACAACTGATACCCCCAAAAACATGCACAAGTACAATGTAGAGCAATAAACTACAACAACAACAAAAACCCTTAAACTGTTCAATAAAAAAAATAGAAAAGAAAACCTAAGGGGAGAGATGTAAGTACCATTGACTTAAGGGTTTCTCTGCATTCTTGATTTTCTAACAAGAGTAGAGCTGCTGCTGCTGCTCCTAGTTGAGTTTAGAGATAAAACGTGGAACCATGTGGCTGTTTCTTATAACCAGTTGTCCTTGACTCGAGAGTCGAGACTAGGTGGGTCGGTAAGCGGGGACAGAAAAGGTAGTGTGGATTTTTCATTATTATTTTTTAAAAAATGAAAATGAAATATTCACTTGCAAATATTTCAAGAAAGAAATTAGGGTGCTAGGATTTTATTTTAGATACCTTTCATTATGGTGATGGTAACAAATTCCTCATGAGTTTGGAAAGAAATCCAATCCTGATTCGTTTCTTTATACACAAATAATTAATAACTTAGTAAGTGTGATTGTTTGAATACTTTTCTGATTCTCTAAATTAAATTTTTATTTTTTTATATATTTTTTTGAAGTTTTGCATTAATCTTCTTGAAAAACTCATTGTTTGCTTGGATTATCTAACTAAAAATAATAGAAAAGGAAGAAGAAAAATATGATCAAATCAAGTTATTTAAGGTTGTTTAAAATTATAATAATAGTTTAAATATTTTTTATTTAACAAAATATTAAAATAATATTTTTTGTGTTTTTAAAAATATATATTTAATATCAACACATCAAAATCAACTAAAATTATAAAAACAATAATTTTTAATAAAAAAATTTAAATTTAAAAAAACACAACTTCCACTGCATTCCCAAACTTGCTACCCGCAACCCAATTGAACCACAGATGAAAGAAATTAAATGCTCAAATGAACACCTACATCATCATCATCCATCAAAATAGAGAAAGGAAAATATAAAAAATTCTGCTTTGATTCCTTTAAACTTGTATTTGTTGCTGATACACGAGACATGATTTTTTGTTTTGAATTATACAAAAAATGAGAACAATGCTCAACCAAGGCATGTACATGAACTGAAGAGAACATTATTTGGACACAGGTGACAAAGGTGTACAGATTACATCATCTACCTAAAAGGCTTTTAGCATGAAACATATACATGAGTTGGGAGGGTACAAAAAAACAAATCGGTTTACTTTATCAAAATTGGAGTGAGTTGCTAAAGGACATCCCACATAAATATTCTGCCAGCAGAGATTGGTGTTGTAATCGAGATCACGCCTGTAACCTTGGAGAGCTCAGCCCAAGGATGATAGCCACATGGAAATTGCAACTAGTTGTGTCTGTAGAAGGGCAAGAAGAGACTGGAAAGTGTTCACCAATTATGCAATTGTGCAGTTACGCTTTTTACCATAGGGTGATATTCTGTATGCATGTGCCTTTTAGCTTTTTCGGAACCGGGTTGTTCAAGCCACTCATCATACAAGGATTTAACAAGAAGATTCTCGAAAGGATCTTTGATCAAAACCTGCATATCCAAAACAAACAAAAGCATAGTTACGGGAAGATAAAATGACTGTAAAACAAGAATACTATAGAGAGAGTACAGGCAAAACATGGACATGAAATAATCCCATTCCAGTTTCCCTTTTCTTGGGCGGGGGGTAACCATCACTGTTTTTAGTGTATCCAAGACAGTTTGTCTCAACCATCAAAATAAAGACTGCACACCTAATGTAATTACCCACAGACCATCAGCTTTCTAAGTCACTTTGGTATTCTACCATGCTCAGCAATCTCCAATGAGATCTTGTATGACGAAAGATAATCTAAGACACGACCAAAAATGTCAAGACTTAGAAGAGGATAGCAGAATTCAAATCCCTGAATAGGTCAGGTTTTATATCTGCCTTTGAGAACAGTTGTGATGGTAAAAGTATCTCAGAAGCAGAGATACATGAGGTTCAAGAGTCGTATGTAGTAAGCTGAAAGTTGCAAATGGTAACATGTTTGATCATACATGATGCCAAAACTATTTAACAAAACCCTCTAGATTGGAAGGGAAAAAAAAGGCATACAAAACCATCTGCAATGTTAGTGAAACTCACATTTTCCATATAAGTAGTTTCTAATGACTGGAGCAGCTCTTTTTGAGATTGTTGTGGCTTTGGCTTGATTTGACCACCGCCATTCAGGCATCCTATTTAATCATAAAGCCTAGTTAGTAACGCATGTGTCAAATTTCGAGTGAAAACTGAATAGCAATTAGATTAAACTGAAAGCACCAATCCAGTGAAAGTAAAAATTGAAAGGGAAAGAAAGAAACCGGATGGGCACGCCATAACTTCCACAAAGTGATAATCACATTTTCCTATTTTGACTTTTCTCACAATATTTTGTAGGTTTTGAAAGCCATAACAAAGAGCAAATTTCAGAACAACTTTTCCATCCACCTACATTAATGAGAGATATCACATTAGAAGCAAGAACCAGGTGTTATAGTATGTGCATAGAATTACCAAGTATATGTGATTAAGCCTTAAGGTACCCATCTAAGTTAAACAAGACATAGAAAGTTAATAACAGCATTTTTTTTTTCTTTATTCTTTTTCTTCTTTTTTGTTTTGTTTTTGGACTCTATAGCAGTTAACGTTGGTGAATATTGCAGTATGATTAGAGTTCTAACCTACAACTGCTAGGAGAAGGCATATGAATAAGATGTGTGAATTGTACTGGATTTAGGTTGCAAAATTCTTATCTACCGTAGAAGATTTGTATAGGGCTAAGATTTATAGTTTATGTGAAACTTGGTCTCTATCACATTACAAATAGGTTATCTATAAGTCAAAAAAAGAGTCACCCTACATATACATTTTTTTACAAGCTTTTTACAATTTATCGCATTCTTTTACTTATCGCCATTTAAATCTTTCCTTTACAGCTTTCATTTATCTTTATTGCTTTAGTTTTTTACTTAGTTTATAAAAACTTCTTCATTATAAACTTTCACCTCTTAACTTTCTCGCATATGGTGCATTTCTAAAACCCATGATGCATCAAGAAACTGTATCAAAATTGGAGAGCATAATCACTTCTTACAAGAAATGTGCCAGATTAAAGAGAGCATAACTTACTTCCAAAGTCACTTCACGGAAATCCATGTTTCGAAGACTTTTGAAGGCCAAAGGGCCTTCAATTTCTCTTCCATATAGTATTCTAGCAGCATTCCGAAACACTGTATCAGCATAACCACCAGAACTTCCAGGTACTCCATAGAGATAACCTTCTTCACTAACATTTGTCAACCTGCAGAACAATCACCACATATTCCTTTTATATCACCAGATCAACCACAGATGGATGGAGTGTCAAAAAATAAAAAGATTGTAGTTCACAGGACAATTGAGAATTCTTACATTTTATCTAGAGGAGAGTCGTCTAAGGTTTCAAAATCCACTGCTTTGAACTGCAATTTGAACCCCAGAAAAAAAGGAAAGAATAAACACTAGTCACCAATTACTGTTTATCAATGTGCTGGATAATAAGAGGGGTGAAGAAAAAAACGAGGCAACAAAGCTAGCATCAACTGCCAGAATTGGGAATCTCAATCTCACCTTTATCAAATCTAAGACTTCTCCAGTTGTCAAAACTGAATCAACTTCTGCAATCCTGAGACCATTTTTATTAGCATCTTCTTGTTCCACTTCAAAGGCAAAGTCGTCCCTTACAGCCTCAAGCTTCTTATCATAACATGGCATCACGGTCACATGGTAAACCTCATCAGGCCTATCAAATAAATTCACCAATTACATAATTAAAAAATGCAGGAAATTGAAAAAGTAACTCGTTTTTTCTTCATTCTTCAAAACTCTAATAACAGACTACAAGGTCCTGTGAACTATAATTAGTGTTTGGTCAGTACAGGTTTTATTTAAATGTTGAGGGTGTGAATTCAGATGCAGTGAAGGTACTGTTACTTTAATATGTTTTCACATCATCTTTATTGATTTATTCAGTGACACAGAAGAGGTGTAGTAGGAGTTGACTAAAGAGGAGTGAAGGAGAATGGTCCCCTAGTATGCACAAAAGAAGACCAAGAATGTGAAATCAAATGGTATTATCATGACTACTGATCTTAAATCCTGCATATAACTATTATGAGGTACTTGAAGATATAGGTTTCCTCGTGAAATAGCATCAATTATTCCAATGTTAAAGCTTAGAAGATACAAGATCTCTTACTGACCTATAATTCCTAAAAAGCTATGCTTTGCAAAAAAAAAAAAAAGATCAAGCAAGAATAGAAAAGCATTAAACTGGATGTTTACCTGAGGCCCATTTTTTGGCAAATGTGATGCTTGATGGTAGCTCCAATTGTTTGTTGTGGGCTCTTCACAGAAGATATAAAAGGCAGAATGTAGGATCCTAGTTGCTTTTCAGCATAGCATATCCAACCTGCAGTAACAGAAGAATTAAAAAAAAAAATATCAGTGATTATGAATCAGACAATCCCTCCTATCATGTCACCAACATTCCACAGCCCTGTACATAACCACAGATAATTACAGATTATGCTATCAGAAACATTCCTGATGTGGTTTCATATGCTGGCAAGTAGTTCTATTTTTTTTAATTCTCTTCTTACTCTTGTTTCCTCTTTCTTTTCTTGGGGAAGGTGAGAGCATCAATTTCTGTCTATTAAGCTAAGAAATTAACCTGGACATGCTGAAGAAAGCATGGGTAAGGCTGAATTAGATTTTTCATTGTTGTTCAACTGGCTCTGTTTGTACCGATTAACAAACTCGTTACAAGTCTCTATAAGTGTTAAGTCCCTGCTTGAACTTGTATCAAATACAGCTTTCACTCCCAAAGACTTAAAAAATGTCGTGAGTTTCTTAAAAACCTGCAAAATCAAAATAACTTGAGCCATTATAATCTTGCACAAACAAAACACAATATATTATCTCATTGCACATCCTTTCAAATAAAACTCAGAGACCACCTGAAGGGGAGAGATGCCAAAATAAACTGCAAGAGAAGCTCTTGACTGTGGAGACAACGAAACAATTATAGCTTTCCCTTTCTTAATATTAGATAGGAAATCATCCAAACTTTGCTTCTCAAGCATAACTGTCTCCGCTGATGTTATGCATCCACTGCAATATCACAACAAACCATAAATCCTAAACCTCTACTGAATCACTAAAAAACTAACAGCAAAAACACCTTGTAACCCCAAGCAACACAAAATTTCCAAATTCCACTAATCCCAACATGTTATCTTCAGTTCTTTACCGATACTTAAAATATCTTTTAAATCATTCATACCTAAACCCCCACCTATCACCCACTAACTAGCAGCAAAAACATATTCTAAACAATAAATATCGCAATTTTCCAAAATCTCATTAATGATCTTCTTTCACCTTCATTATTAACAAAATTCCCACATCTTCATTAATAACTAAGCATCTCTAATTTAAATCATAAATATCAAAACCCCAAATTCCCTAACTATAAATAAGTACAAATTTTAAACCCTAAACATCAAAAACTTTCCACACTCCAATTAATCCCATGTTTCATTTTCCCTTCAATAACATCCCAATATTTCCAAGATTCAATAAAACCATATTTTTCTTTTAATTTTATTTACGACAAACACCAATGAAAAAAAAAAAGCCAATAAAGAAGTAGGAAAAAAAAAACCTGCAAGCCAAACAGTCCTTAAGCGAAATTTTCACAGGGTTAGTTTGCTCCTTATTAGCAATAGCAACCTTCAAAAAAAGAAAACAAAAAACAAAAATGAATAATTTCACTAAATAATCCCATTTCTTTTCACCAAGTTGAAAACTTTAAGCAAAACAAAAACTAATTAGCTAAAAATAAACCCAAGAGTTTGAAGAAGTTACAGAAATACCTCATGCTTGTCGCGTTTTACGGTGTTAGGAGCTGTCGTTTTGAGGCCTTTCATAGACACAACACAAGCTTGAGAAGGAGCTATGAAGTCACTCAGATCCCCAATTCTCAACGTCGGTGAGAATTTCTCCGACATGCCGTTTATAATTAGGGTTTTTGATAATCCCGAAAGAGAAATCGAAGATCAAACTGAGAGATTCCGCTTAGGGTTTGTCAGAGAAAGAGATAGAGAGAGGGATGCTAATGAGACCTGTCGGTGTAGCTGTCTGTTATTTTGGTTCTTAAGAAGAGAGAAGTCTTATGATGCGGGCGGTTATAGAGTTATGGAGGTTGGTCGCGAACAGGATGTGAGAGTTGTGTGGAAAAGGAAAGTCAATGATCCTACGTGTTCATGGTTGTTGAATAGTTGTCTTCATGCACGTGCCCACCACAGGCCTTGTAGAATATTCAACGTTTTTATTTTTTTTCTTGTTTTAGATTCTAGCTTCTACAAAAACGGAAACTTTACTATGGCATGGTACTTTTCTTTTATCCATTGTGATATGCGTTCAGTTTTTACTGTGTCATAATAGTGTTTTTTTTCTTTTTTAATTTCTCAGGTTTTAAATTATTTTATTGTTTATTAAAATATTGAATAGATAAAAATATCTTTAAATAAATTAATGATAATTAATATATTATGTAAAAATATCAAAATATCAGACAACTAATTTTTTAGCCAATATTATAGACATAACTCTGTATTATAATGAATAGTAATATGTGTTTATGAGTATAAAAAAATTATCTTTCCTTTTAGTATATTTATTAGCCATTTAAATTAAGCTTCACAGCATGTCATAATTGTTTTTAAAAAAATTATAATTTATATAGTTATTTTAATATATTTTTTAATATAAAAAATTTTAAATATAAATTAAAAAGCTTAGACAAGTATTTCATTAAATAAATTAATAATTATTTATGTAAATAAACAGGGAGAAAAAACTAACAATAACTAAAAGAAAAATTGATAAAATTAAGAGATGTAAATCAAGATATTCAACCACATAAAATAAGATATTCACCTAATTATATTTAATGAATTTATTTATTAAAATTAATATAAGATAAATTCATAACTTAAAAAACTCATGATTTAAAAGATAAATACAAATGAAATGCCAAAAAAATATTATGTAAAGCCAAACACATCAACAATATTATTTTAAAATAAATATTTTTATTTTTAAAAATAAACTTCATTCATGTAAAACTCAAAAAAAATCTAAATGAACTAGCAAAACACCTTGAAAAATAAATTAAAAAGAAAAAAAAATACAGAGTGATAAGATTGTATAAAATTGAATCTTTAATAAATCAAATGTTGAAAAATAAAATTAAAAAAAAATCAATTACAAAAAAATAATTAAAAAATAAGAGTGTGAAAAAAAAACATTAATTAGATGGCAACTAAAAATTTAATTTGATATGCACTTCATAACATGTCATAATTTTTCTTTCTAAAAGCAAAAACTTGAGTATACAAATCATTTTAATATGTTTTGTTTTACATAATATAAATTATAAGGGTAAAATAAAAAGTTTATTAAACCATCTAATAATTATATGTGTAAATAAATAAAAAACAATTGTTAATAATAACTAGAAAAAAAACTAGAAAAAAATTAGAGATGCATGTAGATCAAGATATTTGATATTGCAAAATAAGATATTTACCTATTGATGTCTACTAAATTTATTCATTAAAATTAATAAAAGATAATAGAAATAGAAACACATATGAAACAAAGTGAATAAAATAAAAAGAAAATAAATGTATGGTCGATCATATAAGAAATATTATTTCAATTAACTATTTTCGTACAAAACAAAATCTACTTATATAAAGTAAAATAAAAAATAAGTAGAAACTAAACACAAAACAAAACAGCTCTTTTTTTTAAAAAAAAACCCTTTTATCCAAAAAAACTTTTAAAACTCATGATTTAGTTGATGAGACAAAGATAAATCGATAGAAAAGAATATGAAAGTAATCATAAAACGATTTTTTTTAAAAACAATATAGAATGATAAATTAGCAAAATATAATGAGGAAAAAAATCATAACAATGTTAACACTTAAAACTTATGATCCATGTTATTAAATTGTAAGCATTATAAATAAAAAAAATTGTGAAGCTCAATTCCAAATAAATCAAACACCAAAGGGATACATCCGGGAAAAAATGAACCATATAAAAAATAATTCAAAAATAAGGGTGGAAAAAAAAATAAAAAAATAATTTTGAGGGAATTTAAAAATAAAATTGTTGGGTTAAATTGAAAAGAAAAGAAATTTAAAAAAGGAAAAAAAATCAAAATAATGAAGGCTTATTTGAAAAAAAAATATAAACTTTGATTGAAGAATGAAATTGAACACTAATAAAGCTTTAGCAAAAAATCCAAAGGTAAAAATCACAAATCAAAAAAATAAAGACTGAATTGTTGAAAACAATATATAACAAATTGTAATTTAAGAACTAAATAAAAAACATAAAAAAAACTTCTCTAAAAGAGTTTAGTATGAAAATAAGCAATAAAAAATATAAAAACTGAAATTAAAAAAATAAACAAATATGTACTTTAATCGGAAGAGATAGAAAAGAAAGAACAAACGAATCACCATCGACACACCTCACACCACGAGGGTGCATCACGTGATGACGTTTTCAATAACACACTGAAAAGTTATTTTCCAATAAACAGTGACATCACACATGTCATTGAAAAAGGCATATACACAAACAATACACTAATGCATAAAAAATATACAACACCAGCTTTTTAAAATTTAATATTAAAAATAAATTTTAAATTACTAAAAAAAAACCCCCTCATAGTCATAAAAATAACAAATAAACTAATATAAAAATATAAAAACATCCCTAAAATAAAAATATCAAAACATCCCTAAATGCATAAGAGATATTTTAAAATTTTGTGCAAAGTTAAAAAAAACCCTTAATCAACATGTTTAAATTTTATTGACCTTGGAGAGTCAGAAAAGATTTTATTTTACAAACAATAATTTTCTTGTTTAATCTTTTAATGCTCATTAAATTAATATAAAAAAATCAAAATGCTTTTATTTTTTTATAGAGAGGCACAAAGATAAATTCATCATAACAATTCATAATAAATTAAGTCTATTATTATAGTGAATAAACCACAAATTTTAGAGTATGGGTTAATTATATATATATATATATATATATATATATATATAATGATTTTTAATAAGAAAGTTTTGGTAAAGTTTAGTGGAGGATAAGGATGTGATTTTGTTATTATCATAATAGAACTTATGGCCAGGTTGATATTTCCAGGTCCAAGAAAAGTATAATTATACATGAATTCTGGTCTCTCACAGGAAGTACAAAATTGAGGACTTCAACAATGATTATAATGCTAGAGATAGAGGAAGCTTGCCAAAGACACAAATCTGTAGATAATGCTACAGAACACACAGCATTCATTTATTGGCAGCATTTAAGTCACAAAGCATGCACTCTTTTTTTTCACCCTCATCTCATATCTAACAAAAGGCCACCATATTATAGAACTCTCTGGTGGTGCAATGACTAGAAACGGTATCTCTGAGAACCTACCACCTTGCCCCATCCTTGCCCTTGTTGCCACCGTACAAGCGGAAGAGGCTGAAAGCGGAGATACAAGACAAGACAACCATGCTAACACTGACCAAAAGCGCACTTGCTATTCCTTCACCAACCTGGTTACAGAATTTTCCGTACATGGTGCATGTCTTCATCCATTGGAGATCAGGCTGTCCCAACTTTGCAAACGCTGCCGATTGTGCAGCAGCTGCCACTGCAGACATGGTCAGGTATGCCATCATCTGCACAAGTTGGTGTGGAAGAGTTAGGTGATTGTTTCAAAATGTTCTGATCTCATTGTTTTCCATGGATGGCAACAAGGGCACCATCTAATTCTTCTCAACTCAGCACGAAAATCTCCCAAGTTATTCAAGGAATGTTAAGACCATCATCAAGCATCAAAATTAGCAAATGAAAACCAAATCATTCTGAATATTTATTCTGTTTCCACTCGCATGAATTTTATAATTTAAAGAGCTTCATAAGCAAAATCGATTCCTCCTGACAAGCACTCCAATTTCTTTAAATCCATTGAAGCAATTTCACCAAAGAAATCAGTACTAATTTACTGCCATTTTCTGTGTATGCGTAGTTCACTGCTGGAAAACTCCTCCATATCTAATTAATACAAAAGTGGCCTTGCAATCTATCAGTACTGCTCCAAGGACCACTTTCAAGATGGTATTGGGTTGTCTCTGTAAACTCAGGCATGCTGGAGTAATCAAACTCCTACAATATTTACGAGCCCTTCCGTACTTCAAAACAAAATTATTTTATATCGTCAGCATTAGTTTGAGATTCACAAGTGTTTCTCTTTCTCTAAAAGTCACAGATATTTCATTGAATAATGAATCTGACAGAAGCCTAGTAATTATTCAGAAATTTAATTTCCACCACCTAGCATTCCAACTGCTGAAAGGTATGGGTACTGTTGCGGTAATTGATTATGAAATCCTCTCCGTTCCGTTCCTATATAGCTTGGCCTCATCTTTTTTTTATTTTTTTTATTGAATGCATGTCATCATTGTCATGTGGTAGATATTAGCCCTCACCAACAGTGTATGGCAAACAACATCCACCCCATGAACTCAACGCACTCAGCTCAAATTTTCATGTAGCATACACCTGGAAAACACGACGACACATGGCATCTGTCGGTATAGAACATTCCTATATAGCATGGCCTCATCTTCTTTTTTTTTTTTTCTCTTTTATTGAATGCATGTCATGTGGTAGATATTAGTCCTCACCAACTGTGTATGGCAAACAACATCCACCCCATGAACTCAATGCACTCAGCTCAAATTTTCATGTAGCATACACCTGGAAAACATGACACATGGAATCTGTCGGTATAGAACAGAAAGACCTATATTAAGGAAATAGAGAGTGATTTGAGCCTCACTTGGAACCACAAATATTCATAGATCCCAGTGACCCGCATGCATAATTCACCATTATAACCAGTACTCAATTATCCTCCCTCACAAGGAAGGTTGGCAGGGTCAATTGTCTTGCTCTGGTTGTAAATTGACTAAACCATACCAAATTAGCACTGACATTCAAAACCTAAAATCAGACCCTTTACCAATTCAAATCATGTGATACTTAAACATGCAACAGCAAATTAGCTAAACCATACTGAACTAGTACTGGCATTTACATCCTATAATCAGACCTTATTAGCTGTTCAAATCATCTGATACATAAAACCATTAGGTCCAGCTTGAGTCCTTGACCATACCATTACAAAGGAGGAATGATTTCCTGCAGCAAGTTTTGAAATGCCTTTCTCCAACAATACATGTGATCTCCACCAATCACTTCATGATTAACAAGTATGGTGTCACATTGAATGACCTTAGGTGGGAAACTGGGAGCCATTACTGCTAGGAATCATTTTGGCGACATGCCATTCAAAGAATAATAATCTACTTGTGCTCTGATGTGGTTTTAGCTTTCCCAGAAACTAAATATAATTCATGCCCTTGACACCAACTGCCTTATGCACACAGTGATTCTAATTAACACATTAAATGCAAACATCTACCTTAAAAATATTAACTCTTAATAGTTAAGAGCAGTTTTGACAAAATTTATTAATCTAGGGAATTTTTTTTTTTGAAAAATTAGTTAGACAATTGTCTAACTGAACTAGTAAATGGTAATTGGTAAGGATTGAAATGAACAAGAAGAGCCCAGAGAAAGGCACAATATGGATGAAGGCATTGATGTTTATTTGTCAGGTTGGCACCAATATATCACTTGCTTAACTAATCTGAAAACAACATGAAACTGGGGAAAGAGTTAAGAACATCCATAAGAAAGTAGATAATTGTGAGTATAAACCACAAGTGAACAACACAAGAAAATGTTTATGACCTTTCATGCATGTTATTATTTAAATTTCTAACCTAAATGCCACCACACCCAAAAAGTAAAAAAATAAAATAAAATAAAAAAATCCAATACCTGATCACCAGAGAAAATAACCCAAGCTAAGGGTTTGCTAAACAGAACACTTCCTTTAACCATGCCCACAACACAGCGCACCCCTTGAACCAATGAGTAGGCTGCTGCTATCCCATTAGCTGCCACCAAAAAGCTGCATCAAAATAAAACCAAACTTCATAAACTCATCAAGGAACAGAAAGATTGAATCTTTGGAACCATTTTCGAATAAAGTAAGAAAATTTGGAACCATTTTTGAAGGAAGAAAGAAAATGAAACAGAAAGAACGAATCTTTGGAACCATCTTTCAATAAAGTAAGAAAATTTGTAACCATCTCTGAAAGAAAATTGAGAGAGGTTGATCAGAATCTTACACAAGAGCTTTCATGTCAGTGAATCTTGCTTTCTTTTCAATTGAAAAGATTTCTTTAACTTGAGTATCTGTACCAACAAGAACAGCAGCAAGAACTCCTAAACAACAGATCACACACCTCAAGACCAACTCTGCTAGCCTCACTCTCCTATCAATAACCTTCAAGTTAGTGCCATGATACACTTACCACATACGGTAGTCATCATGAGTTTTGCATATAGTAAAGCTTTTTTTACCACTTATATTTATTTAGAAATGCAAGTATGGTAGTAGCTATACCCGTGTTTTCAAATTAAAAATATTATTTAAATTTATAATTTTTTAAAAATATTTTTTAAAAATCATTTGAAAAATAATATAATTTTAATTAACACTTAAATTAATCCGAATGTACTCCGATAAAAAAAGAATTAACTATAAAAAACGGGTGGGAGAATAGGTATCCGTTCAAAAGAAAAGAAAAGGACAGCAATGAACATTTGGAGCAATGCAAGTCCATGAGAATGCCAAATGGTCAAACGCAGGAGCCGTGCAGAAACCAGTAGAAACAGCATTGAAACACATTCACGGCAGCATTTTTAAGGTGTTTGAAAGGATGGAAGTTATTATTTTTTTAAAGTGTTTTTTATTTTAAAATATTTTAAAATAATATTTTTTATTTTAAAAAAAATATTTTTGATATTAAGGTATCAAAATAATATAAAAATGTAAAAAATATATTAATTTAAAACTAAAATAAAATAAAAATTCAAAATTTTTTTAAAATATTTTCCAACCACGTTACCCAACACTATTTTCCATCGATGAGAAGAGGAGGGAAAATGCGAGAAGACTCACTTTTTTCTGGGGAGAGGCAACAGTTGCTTGTCCCAAGAGAGAAGGGTCAGATAGACGGCGAGACCCATCTTTAATCTCTCTGTATAGAAGTATTTAATGAGGGAAGGGTTTAGGGTTCATGGTAGGATTTTATGAGGGCCCATTCTTTTGTTGTTTTTGATCAGCATGTAGCAGAAAGAGCAGAATGGATACTACTACGAGAGGTACACAACTTTGCTCGTAAAATAATTACTTAAACTATGCTCATCCAGATGATTAAACTTTGCAATAAAGCCTTTCAATAAAGTTAAACCTTCATTAACGCAAGCTTATAAGATACACAACTGCTCTATATATAAATGCACATTATAATATTATTTATGCATCAACTTTATTATATTTTTTAATTAATGTGGATATTTAAACTAAGCGTATGTATACCTTTACTAATTTTATGAATCATAAAATTAATAATTATATAAACTTTTAATAATTTTAAAATTTATAAAATTAAATATATTTGAAAAATAAACATAGAACTTAACAAGAATTGAGTTATATCTTATTTTTTTATTAATTTTATTCATGTATATAAAAAATCACAAAAACAGATAAGAGATATGTTTTCTTTAGCTCTTTCTTTAAAAAGAATTAAATTTATTTTAAAGCTAACTCATAAAATATTTATTTTATATATCCATCTCAATCTATTCAATTAAACGCATTTTATACACGTAACTCGTGTATTAAAACACTAAAAACATCAACTTGAATCAATTAGCAGGATCGGTGTGAATGGTTGTTGCATTCTTTTTTCTTTTCTTCCTTTTTTTAATAATTAAGGGCCAGAATGGTGCCAGGGGTAACCCTGCTAGGTGATAACACCTACTCCATTCCACCAGCAACAACTTCCACTCACATCTCCATAAAGTTCATGGACTTTCATACAGATAAAAGGACTTCTTCTCTGAGCTTGGAACCAGATTTTAATCACTCATCTCCCACTTCTTGATGTGCCCCAACTAAATCGATAAAAAATTATGCAATTTCCCAAATTTGAGTATAATCTATAGAATTCCCACAAAAAAATATATTCCCTAAATACATAAAATTGTAGCCCCACTTGGCAATATTAATTAATATAAACTTTGCAGGACATTGTTCTTTAGGATGACTCGCTCAGATAAAATGGATTTATTTTTTCAGTTATTTATTCAAAATTCAGCTTCAATTTTTAAAAAATAAAAAAAAAAGATTTTCTCATTGCCAGTCATTACTTTTAAAAAAGATTTTCTCATTGCCAGTCATTACTAGTCCGACATAGATGTTTGAGATTCTATATATATCCTTAGATGATTTTACTGTTAGAATAAGAGATATTATGTTTCTATTTTTTAATGTGTAATATTAAAATAAAATTAAAAATTAAAAAAACATTAAAAATAAAAATACTTTTAAAAAGGTAACAAAAAGACGGATGACCATTGACCTCTACTGGGACGCGTGCTGAGCTAGAAGAGATACATTGAATGTCTGTCTGCTGGAAGTCGATGGAAGACAGTGGGACTGGGAGGGTCTTTGTCACATTGGCCATGCACTTTCGGCAAGACTTGAGCTGCAAGATTGACATTTGTTGTCTTTCTAGGTCTTTCAATTATTTATTTTCTTGCAATTTGATCACTGAACTTTATTTCTTTTCACTTCTATCCTTACAAGCTATGCTTACACGACTTTACACGATCCTATTTATTTTCATGTGCATGCTATCTCTTCATTAAATGAATTTTCTGACGAATCTCTAGTTTTCTTACAGATAATGTATCTTTTAATTAAATTAAAGAAATATAATTAGTCACCGTTTAATATGAATTGAGTTAAAGATATCATTTAATTGATTGTAAGAATAAAGAAATTTAACTCCTTAAGAGTTATTGAGAAAAAAAAAAGATTAATGCTCTTAATTCAAGGAGAGTCAATTCTATTTAGTGCTTTTTCACCATGTATGGAAGGAAGGAAGTAGAAGAGAGATCGATGCTGTTTAATTCATTAAAAAAAAAACAAAAATTAATTACTTGTAATCTAAGATGAGTCAAATCCTGTCTGAATAAATATCTCGTCTTGAAGCATTGCTTTCCTCAGCTACAAGAAGATCAATGTGGGACATGACTCGAAGGCAACAAGCATCGACACTATCTCTAAAATGAAAATAATAATAATAATTCAAAAAAAATCCAAAACTTGTAATCAAGGAAGATTTGCCCTAGAAAACTTGTCTTTTGTAGGGCTAAAACTATTTTTATTGACCCCATTACCATTAAATAACTTTCACACTACGTTTTTGCTATATTAAAAGAAAAATCATCTCTAGGTTATGTTAATTTCTTGTTTAGATTTTGAAATACACTATTAATAACATTGATTTGAATAAATAGTATTTTTGTTTGTTCCCAACTTAAATTTAAAGTTTAAATGATATATTGATTAATTAATAAATTTTTATGATCTCAATTATATTAATTTACATAGATTTAACTGTTTTTTAAAAGGATAAAAGGAAATTGAATGATAAAATTAATATTTTCACTTGTCTTTGTAACTTTAATAAAATAAAAACTTCATATTAGTATCCCAATAATATACTAATTCTCAACCGAGTCCTGGACTGTCAATTTTCTCAGTTGAATTCCTAAAATATTAAATAATTCTAAATAGAGTCTTGTGCATCTATATCAATTCATGTATTCCATCTAATTTGCATATGCAGTAAAAACAAACGCAGTTTGAGGGGGGAATGGTGTTTTTTTCATGAAAAAGGGGGAAGATCCTAAAGGGAAGACAAAATTGAGAGATGCAAAGTCCTACTTTGGTGATCCAATTGAGAAACTTTATAGTTTAATGGCTAAACTGAGTATAAATTAAAAGTTGGGGACTAATTTGAAGCTTGCTCAAAGAAGAATTATCTTACTTGGATCAAGATCAGTGCTGAGAGCAGCAGCATTGAAGTAACAAGTTGCTCCTTCATGCTTAAACTTCTGATAATAGTTATCGAAGGCATAAGAGGCATGATCCCTTGCTGTGCTTGGCAGATAACAGGGTTGCTTCCTTTGTATCTTGCTGCAATCCGCACCTCCCTTTCCACTGGCCCAATTGACCCTCTATATGGACAAAAATCACCAAAATCCACAATTGAAATGCACATTACCTTAATCACACTGCAATCAATAAAAGACTCACAACCCTACTGATGATTTACCTGATTTCTGTGGCATTAAAGCAATGAAGGACAGAGCTAGGAGAAGAATCCTTAGAAAACTTGCTGTCATTGTGACAGGAACTTATGTTTATCCATTGAAGTGGAGATTCATATAATCACAAACAGTTCTGATTGCTTCTGTATGTTTATGAAGAAAATTTGTATGAAGAAAATTTGTAAACATCAAAGATGTTTACTTTTTTACAAGGTTGAGAGTCCAATCTAGCTAAATTTCTTGGGTTTTACTGCAAGAATTCAGGCTTTGTTTAGAATAACTAAAGTGCCCTGGATTTTTCTTTTTGCAATTCGTGTAAGTGCATATACATTCTGCAGTTCTCTCTTCAATACTACTCTGACAGAGGATTAACAGGGCTCATGTCTTGCCAAGTAATTATGCAGCAATACCCACAAACATCACCATATCTTCATGGTCAGCAAGTTGCTAGTTTCTAATGATCCAATGTTAATCCAATTATGAATTTGTGTATTTAGATAACGATATAAATTATATTTTGGAGACTCACTTATCATCTTAATTTTTTTTTAGTTGAATTGATTTTTAATATGATATTATAGCCTTAATGTACAACTGTCAAGCCTCAAGCCTCAAGCCTCAAAATATGTCGTCTAATTTAACTTTTTGGATTGAAATGATTGGATATGCATGAAATATTTTTCTTAACCAAAACTTGCTTCACATTCACATGGAAATCGTTTTTCTTCAGAAAGATTGTGTAGGTTTGTTTTAACATTTATGCATTGTTCAAAGCTTAAATAGCATCAGAAAATGAAAAATACAATGGTTAGATTGGTCTTTTGCTCAAAAAGCTACAGGTATGGAATGTGCAATGAGCCTTTAACCACATATTTTGTCATGTAAACAGCAAGATGGATGGGCAGGGCAGGTTTTCTGTTTTTGCTTGCACTGCAGTAGAAAGAAGAGCATTTCTTTGTTAATTTGGCACAGGAAAGGTGAAACGTGAGATTTTTCTTTTTTTTTGTTAAGCACTTGATTCATGTGTCATCTACTTTCAAACTAATCTATGATAATGCATGTCTTGAAATACCCCACTTGGGGCCAATCATCTCCAGCCCCATCACCACTTCTGCAAACTCTTTTGATCTCAAATGGATCTTTGTGTTTTGTTCGTCCTTGTTTCTCTATTCGCAGTCTCTCAATCACAACCTGCCTCTCACACTCTCATCCTCAATGATATAGAAGCAGCAATAACTGACATAAGGTCACAGAATTTCTTTGGATTTGCATTGCTGCTACAGATGCTGAAAATTAGTGCACAAGTATCAGGACTTAACTTTTCTCATTCCAATTGATCAAGAATTGACCAGACCACCTTCAAGAATTCTTGCTCAGCCACTCAATCCCAATGCCACTCTCATTCTCTGACTAAAGTCATTTCCCTACAGGGACACTGGTTCCATCAGGGCTTGACCATCAGCTACTCCAAATCATAAACCGTGGGAAAGCAGATTTTTCTGTTAACAATGCTCAAGTCATAAAACCAAACCTTTGCTTAAATTCTACAAACAAGTGCCCTGGCATTGATTTCTAAATCAATTATAAACTAGATGTAACTAATTCATCTAGTGGTGCTCTATGCAGCTAAATGTACTAGCTTCTTTTATGTTATTATGTTATCTTTCTTTATTGGAAAGGAAGGTTATGCTACCCCAAAAGTTTAAAAATCTCACGATGGAAATCTATTGCTAATTCTAGTCTCTAAAAATCAGTATCATGAAGGAAAAATTTATCACTGAACAAATTTTCCATGCCTCATTGATCACTGTTAACTGCCATGGCTTTCTCAGGCCAGTGCCTTGCCTTGTTCTCCTCTAAGATGTTCTTTATTCTTGTTTAATGCTTCCAACAATACTGATATGCATCAGTGCATATTTGCCACTTCTCTCAAAAAGTATCAAGGAAGTTCTTGACAAGTATATATTTATTCAAATATTATCCCGTTCTGTCAAGAGTTACAGCAATCCTCAACAAGCACTTGATTAGCTTGAACACTTGTGATCAGTGTTTTAGACTTGATACTTCATTAATGACTATATATTATATTAATTTTCATGTACATCCAAAGAAAATCTTGTTTCCTCCGATGATCACTAGATGCAGTCTTGTGTTAAGGTCCTTGTCACATTAGAGTCTATCGAAAATTATTATTAAAATCTGTCATTTACTTTGGTCTGATATTTGTTGTTAAGTTTCGAATTCTAGTTTCCTGGAACCTGCTTCGTTCAATCAGAAATGTGAACCGATAATGTTTTCAAAAGCTAGGCAAGGCCAACCAGTTAACCTCTCCTAATAGATCATGAACTAAATCAATATAGAGATTGCTTGATCTCTAGCCTAGTGAAACAATAATACTGTCAAAATACAGAAGAAAACAACTGAATTCAATATCATGTGACAGATTAATATATCAATTAGCACATACCTTGCACAGGGGAAGAAACAATCTCAAATAGACCTCTTGTTAGAAGATGCATGGAAACTTCGTGATCTTGAGGTTCATTTAGTGTTGCCTTACTCTAATTTGAACTCCGCCATAGTCCTTAAGATAACCCTTTCAAAAAATGCCTTCTTCTGTTCAAGTAAATTGACTTCCATATTTTCTCATTCTTTGATTTGTGGGAAATTATTCTAGCAGCTTAAGTGCTAGTCAGTAGTCACCAGTTGGTGTTTTCTCTCCTCACAAAAAAAAAAAAAAACTGTTAAGTTGTCTGTTCCATGATAAAATTAAACTGTAGGGTTTGCAGTGAACTTTACAGTTAACTATAGATTTCCCTTCGCACATTTTTGCTGCTTCCTTTTTTTATATCAGACCAAAGTAACAAGTAGCTAATGTCATCAGAGGGGGGATAAAGCAGAAAATTTCCATCTCTGATATTTTAATTGGTGACATTATATCACTGGCAAAGGGCGATCGAGTTCCTGCTGATGGGATATTTGTTAATGGTCATCCAATGCAGTTAGATGAGGCTTTAGACTGCAAAATTGACAATCAGAATCCATTTTTGTGCTGTGGCGCAGAGGTGAGTGATGGAGAAGGTCGTATGCTTGTTGCATCTGCGAGCGTGAACACGGTGTGGGGTGAGACGATGAATATTCTTGTTCAAATTTCTCCGAAAGAGAAGAATTGCTTAGAAGCTCAGCTTGACAAACTGATCAGTTCCACACAGGTTACAACCCTTCTTATTTATATGCTGATCCTGATTGTATTGTTTGCTTCCTACATGTCTAAAAGGAAAGACTACAACGGAGTGAATGTTGATCCAGGCGGGAAACCAACACCAGTCATGGAGTTCATTCAGGCAATTGAGAGGATTACTATAAAACGAAGAGGACAGATAAGCTTTCTGATGGCATCAATTATTGTATTGCTGGTGGGAATGCAGGAATAGATGCCATTTCTCATGGCTCTTTGTGTTTGGTTATTGGAAAAGGAAGATTATGTCAAGTGGCTGTATGGGTATAGTCCAGAAATCCTCTGCTTGTCTTACCATGGGCTTTGTCACCACAATCTGCACTGACCTGGCTAGAAAGTTAGTACCGCAAGATGAGCTTGAAGAGACAAGAAAAGCAATAAGAGATTGCCAGACTGCTGGAGTAAATGTCAAATTCATATCACAAGACGATATTTCTGTGGTGAGAGCTGCAGCTATTGAATTTGGAATCCTCACAGAAAATTCTGAAGCGGCGATGCTTAGAGGCGAGGGCTTTCGAAATTTCTCTGAAGAAGAGAGGATGGGAATGGTGGATCAGATCACTGCAATAGGCAACTGTCTCCTATCTGATAAGCTTCTTCTTATGCAGTGCTTGAAGAAGAAAGGAAACGTGGTTGCACTGACTGGAGCTAATGATCTTCATGACACTCCAGCATTAAGACAAGCAGACATGGCTTTGTGAAGGCAGACTGGGGACAAAAATAGCAAGAGACTACTTAGACCTCATGGTGTGGGATGGAACTTGGAGCCCAGTTCCCAACATCATAAAATGCGGTCGATGCTCATACGAAAACATTCAGAAATTCATCCAACTAGAGATAACCATGATCTTATCTGGGTTATTGACAACTACCACCTTAACAATATCATCAGGAGAAGCTCTTATGACACCAATTCAGTTGTCCTGGGCTAACTTGATTGTGCCTGTCCTCGGCGGCATGGCTGTGATCACCGAACCACCTGGAGAAAAACTAATGAACAGGCCTCCAGTTCAGAAAACACAACAACTTATAAACAAGGCCATGCGGAGAAACAACATGGCTCAAGTTGTTTACCAGGTTGTGATTTTTGTGATAGTCCATTTCAAAGGACAGGTGATTTATGGCACGGAGCAGAAAGTCAGGAAAGCTATGGTGTTCAATAGTTTTGTTCTTTTACAGGTTTTCAATCAATTCAATTTGCAGGGAGATTGAGAAGGTTAATGTGTTTAAAAACATTCATCAGAACTACTGGTAATTTTGGGTGGCTACATTAGGTCTTCTAGCACTGCAGGTTGCCTTTGTAGAGATTTCAGGCATCATCAAAGGTAATGCAAGGTTAGATTGTGAAAAATGGGGCATTTGTGCTTTATTTATAAGGATTATGGACACCACTTATCTCTATATTGGTATGATATTGTCCACTTTAGATCTAAGCCCTCACGGATTTGCTCTTAGGTTATACCCAAAAGATCTCATACTAATGGAGATATTTGTTCATCCTGATATACCCTTGATCCTCCCCATTTCTAACCAATGTGGGACTTTGATCGCATACCCAACAATCCTTCCCGCGAACAAAAGACCACTGAGCCTCTCCTCAAACAATTATTTATCCATCCACTCTTTGCCAACCAGAATTTTTCATTCTCGACTTCTCTCTGCTTCATCGTGTTGGGGTCAGGACACGTCCATGAAGCATCCAGAGAGCACTACCTGACTTGAGAGTTTTTGCTCTTTCTAGGTCAACTCCTCTTCACCGTGTTGAGATCAGGACATGTCCATGAAGAATCCAGAGCATACCGCCTATCCAATAAAGCTGATCCATGGATCACATCGTGATTTAATTAGGGTCCATCACCTTTTATTCGGCATTCTGAGGATTCATCCATCATGGCTAACTCTGGGGCATAACTCTGATACCACTTGTCAGAATTACGGACACCACTTATCTCCACATTGATATGATATTGTCCACTTTAGTCCTAAGCCCTCATGAATTTGCTCTTGAGTTATACCCAAAAAGTCTTATACTAATAAAAATATTTGTTCATTTTTATATACTCTTAATCCTTCTCATTTCTAATTAATATCGTATACCCAACATTATATTTTCTTTGCATGTTCAAGTGCATTACCGAGGTTTAACATAAAAAATTGAAATTGCTTTCCAGGAACGGCATCCGTCTGGAGTATCTGACAGGGAATAGCTTTATTATCACAAGTATTTGTCAAATAGTCTAAAAGAATAAGCCCAATGATATTATTTCTTTTAATTTCTTATAAAAAATTGGATCACTTTTCATGAACAGAGGATCTCTTTTTTCGATCTCATTCATAGGATATACATCATGTGTGCATGTAACATTGTTTCATTAATTATTTCAAAAAAAAAATGTCTTTAATTATTTTATTTTTTTTCAGTTGAGGCACTTTGATTCGTCAAGTACGTTTTTTTATCAATTTCTTTTATATCAATGATAAGGGATATCATTAAACCAATTTATGTATGAATGATGACTAGTTCTTTTTAATTATGTTTCATTTATAATATTTGATCGGAATATTTTTAAGAATTTAATTTTTTTTTTAATACTAACTTTAAGATTTGAACCTTAAAAACTACGAAAAAATCAAATGAATAAAAGTTACTAAATAATAAATTTATAACCTTAATTATCGGCTACACTGCTTATGCTTGTCAATCATTCATTAATTTTCCTTCATGCTACCTATATGTATAGTAATTAGACTCAGTGTAGGTTATAATTAAATTGGATATATTGTTAATTTTAGTTCAAAATAATATTGTTTTATTTTTTTAATTAGGTTAATCGGATAAGTTTAAGCTAAATCTTCTTTGATATGGATTTGTGAAACAGATTGAAGTTTAATAAACATGAACACAGGAGTTAAAGAAAAGAATATCCTCCATCAATATACATTTAACGCACTTGATCATCATCACCTGAGAAGATTACAAGAAAGAGATGCCACTAATCCACCTACCAAGTGTCCTTTCCACTTCTTTTTTCCTAAAGCAAAAGGTTACTAAGCAAGCATATAATAAAAATCTCCAAATGCACGCCTTGTCTAAAAACCCTAGAAAATGCATTATCTTCTCGATCGATTCACCCTTCAAATTTCGAAATTCCAAAATAATAAAATAAATAAAAGTACAAAGTGGGACGCTTGATGTTGCAAAAAAGAAGCATCCAATCCATCACTAAAAACTAGCATCTGCAGCTTTCAAATTTCATGCCATTTCAATCCAAAGAGTTGAAGACAAAAAAAAAAGTGTTATGAAAAGAGAGAGAATGTTGGTAACCTTGTCCTTGTCAAGACATTATTGTTCAATCAAACAAGTATGAGCTCCTCAAAAGATTATTCTCTCTTGTAACCCTTGTCTTCTACCCTTCACCCTCCTCCCTTCATCAAAGGGAAACCTTCAAGAAAGTAGGAGAGAAGCACTTCTAAATTAAAGGAAAAGCCTCCATCATCTCCGATGCTAGAAAGGGCTTGTAGGAGCGGCAAGCTGACAGAGTATCAGACAACCTATTATTCCTCCAAACATACCCTTCCATTCGCTAATTTCAACACTCTTTTGGACTCTTCTTCTTACCCTCTTCTACTTTACCTCTTTCCTCACTCACAATTCACCAAGAAACTCCACCCTCTTAGATTGGATTCACAACCTTTTCCTTTTGGATTTTGCAACTTGGCTGCCGATTCTCATTCCTTTACTAAATCATTTAGAATTTTATTGAAAAACTAAACCTATCATATGCTAGTTTATTCATCTCTATTGCAACCATGCCAGCATGCTATAAATACACACGTAATGCTATTCGAGGCTTCTTAGAGTTCTTCACTTCCATTGTCACTACACATTTTGATAGCTAAACAAAAAACCCTAAAAGAGCCACCAAAAAAAGAAACGATCTTCTTCTCAAATGGGCAATGAAAATAATGACCCTATTGTCATTCAATCCTCTATTGCTCTATTGCAAGAGAGATTTAGACAGTTACAAAGAGTGAAAGCAATGAGAGAGGAAAAGGAGCTATCAAAAGTTCTTGTGGAGAGTCCTAGGCAATTAAGTCCCGCCATGCAATATGAACCAGCAGCCAGCAGGTTGTTCTTTCACCCTGAATTGATTCTTCAACCAAGGTCACCGCCCCATATATGCCTCTCTCTTCGGCCAAACCCACAGAGCAAGCAGGCCGGCTTTTGGTGCGAGCTGGAAGCCCCAGCCTTGATGAGTTCATCTCCAACAAAAACTCTTTCTAATCACGACTTATTAGATAAATTTGATGATTCTGCTACTGATGACGATGATATCGATACTTCTCTTCATTTGTAAACAATTCCATAATTAACCTTGTTTTTGCCAACGTGATGTCGGAAGAGTAATTACTACTACCACTACTATATTATTAACTCAACTATTAGCTTGTTACCTGTTGTTCTCTCTTTGTGATCTTATTATGATGATTATTATTCTGGGAAACAAGAAGTTTAGTTCATTTTCAGAATGGATCAAGATTGTAGCGATAACTGGCAATTTGCTTTTTAATTCAGAAATAGAAATATTTCTCTAATCAATTCACATGTTAATAATAAAAAAAAAAACTATGAGTTCATAAACAAAGAAAAAATCCAAAGACTTGGGGCTACGATTCCTCACAAAAAGAAAAACACAACGTCTGCAATCAACTACTAGCATTTGGTTCTCATCAATCACTTGGATTTTTTACTGCAACATTGCTTGTCCCTTTCAACGCATGCAATGATTTTTCCTTTTTTAGTATTTATGTTGGATAGACAATAATCCCGAATGAAGATTAAACAGTATATATTGATGATTACTGATCAGGCAAATACAAACAATAACGGGATCATGCATAACCATCTCTTTCGATAGAAGAACTAATCCTTAAAATTGTATAGGGTTCTTGGAACCAGTTGGATTCCCGCTGCAGTTTATGGCTGAATATTCCTGTAATGTTCATGGCACATGGTTGCACTGAAAAACAAATTAATGATTCTAATTTCATTAACAATAATGTAGACTACAGTCAGTTTTTTTTTTTTTAATCAGCGAATTTAATGTTATTTCATATGAAGCAAACTTATAAATTGTTTGGATTAGCTTCAAATTCATGGAAGATTTTATCACACCAACCGTCGTTCAACCATGGGACCAAAATTGCATTATCTACTGCTATTTTGAATTCGACAATAAGAAACTAATTCGAGTAATAAAATCCATTGAAAAATAAAAAACAATTAACTTAAGACTTGGATTTCATCCCATATCATTTTGTTCACTGCTAAGGAACCTTTGGATTCGTTCAAGAAAGGGGTTAAGCCTAAAGAATATGAGCTCATAGAGGTAGATACAGAAACAAACAGAAACCTAGCAGAGCTACCCATCTATAAGATAAAGAATTATGAGTAGGCTAATCGGTAGAAACAAACATTACATAAAAAGGGAAGGGGTTTTCCTTATTATAACAAAAACAAAATAACAAAAATCAAGAATTACTGTAGATTATAAATAATTTCACCATGAATTACACTATTTGTATTTACTCTTTACAAAGTTCTTTCAATGCTGAGCTCTTTCAAATAAATAATTAATATGTTGGCCTCTTTCATCGTAATTGGTGGGTGAATTATTATTATTATTGTTATTATTATTGTTATATATTAAAATGCATGAAAAAATACTATTCAAAATATTATGTATATATTATCAATATAAATTTATAGCACCGTAAATGACACTGTAGTGCTCCTGAGGTGTTATCTTTATAAGTTAAAAATGTTGACTGAGTCACCCAGTAAGATCCCATGGCATTGGGTGCTCCTCTTTCATAACTCAATGCTATTATATTTTTATTTTTTATTTATTTTTTTTTCACACCATAATGAGAAAATATTATTATTATTATTATTATTATTATTAAATTTGAAAAAAAAATTATTACTATCAAAGAAAAATCATAAATTTTATTTAAAGAGATTAAAAACTAAAAAAATTGAAGTCATACAAGTTTAATATTATTATTTTTATTATAGTTAATATTATTAATATAATAATTATAAATTTAAAAAATATTATTAATATTGAAAAACAATCATATATTTGATTTAAAGGGTAAAATTATTATTAGTATTATTATTAAATTTGAAAAAAAAATATCATTACTATCAAGGAAAAACAATAAATTTTATTTGAAAGGGTTAAAAACTATAAAAAAAACTAAGACCAACAAATTTAATATTATTATTAAATTTAAAATAAATTTTAATAGTATTGAAAAAAATATAAATTTGATTTGAAGATTAATATCAATTATTATTAATAATTTTGGTTTGACATCCCTTGTAAACCTAAAAACCTTGATGCTAGAAAGGTATACTTGACCCAAATTGCTTAAGAGTAGCAGAAGCATAAAAGTTCTTTAAATTTTACAAAACTGTCTAAGCCAAAACACTTGGGTCTAATGTCCATACCCAAAACAAATAGATTCATTGTCTTGACCTAGGTCTAATGGCTCCAGTGTTGGAATTAAATTTAAGACTCTTGGATTTAATATTTAAAAAAAACTCAAAGTTTTTGGACTTAGTGTTAGGCAAATCTACTTAAATTTGGGTGAGATTAATATTATTATTATTAATATGAAAAATATTAGTATTTATATTATAAATATTTTTATTTTTATTATAATTAATGTTATTGATATTATAAATACTATTAGTTGTATTATAAATATCATTATTTTTATTATAATTAATAATATTAATATTAAAAATATTAGCATTTGTATTATAAAGATCATTATTTTTATTATAATTAATATAATAATTAATAAATTTGTGAAACAATATAATTAATATTAAAAAAAAATCATAGATTTGATTTGAAAGGTAAAATTAAAAATTATTATTATTATTGAATTTTTTTAAAAAATATTACTATCAAAGAAAAATAATAAATTTTATTTTAAGAGATTGAAAACTATAAAAACTTAGATCAGATAAATTTAATATTATTATTAAATTTAAAATAAATTTTATTATTATAAATAAAAAACATAAGTTTGATTTGAAGAATATTATTATTATTATTATTAACTTAAATCTAACATTTTTTTTCAGACCTAAAAACTTTGTAGCTGGTAAAGAACACCTCATCTAAATTATTTGTGAATGACATGAGCACAGGCCCAAGTTTTTTGAATCTTGTAACCATGGCTAGCTCAAAATACTTGGATCAAATATTTAAATTCAAGTTTGGATTTGAATACAGTTCAGGCTCAACAGTTTTAAATTTAGTTGGAAGACAAGTCTAAATTCTTAAATATTTTTTTATAGATAAACTCAGTGTTCTAATTTTAATTTTTTTAATGTTTTTTATAAAAATATTATTTGTTGTATATCGCGGACCACCAAATCAATACAAACTAATGTTAATAATGACATGATCTAGTAGCTCAACTTAAAAATTTATCAATCCATGGATGAGTCAACCTACTCCACAATCAAAACCAGGTCTAACTTACATAGATATATATATATATATATATATATATATATAAACACTGTTTAAATTGAACTTCCAATTCGCGAGTCGAGCAGTGATCGGAGCTGAGATTAGTAACTTTATTACAAACCATAAAAAGTCTAAACTAGAGGCCTGGCTAGCCAAAAGACAGAGAGTCCAGTCATGGTAATAATTCTCCTGAGAAAAACGTGTCTGTTTTTTTAATAAAAAGAAAAGATAAAAGTGGAGGCTAAGAAGTCAATGTCAACAAACTATGTTCATGGAATGAATCCATGGGCCATGGCAATGGGATCTAAGGTCACCACTGCCTCTCTCACTCTCTCATCCTCCATGTGAAAGCATAAACAGTTATGAATCATATAGAGAATTAGCGTTGTTAGGATTATCTTAAAGCACACGGAGACATAGGCCCAAGTATATTGTACGCCCCGTGTCATATATTTCATTAATTACAGCTATTTCGCTGATTCACATGATGTTTTATTTTTACTGTTAATGCCTTTCAATTCGATTCATTATCTCAGGTTCTATTTTTGGTTAAGATATTTGTAGTAGCTCGTTTTCTGTCTGTTGGCCTGATTACATTTTAAGTGTTGGTTGATTTTTTTTTTTTCTTTATCTTTTGTGGAGGTAGAAATGCTAGCTGATTGCAGAACCTGAGAACGTATGGAGGTCTTCCATGTCTTCTGTTTCTTTTTATCCATATGTTACCTTTGGTCTCCCCCTCCTCACACTCTTCTTCAGTTCTCCTCTCTGTACTAAGTTTTTTTTTTTAATGAAAAATTAACTCAGGCCGGCTACACTCTTTCAACGCAGGTCAGATGAGATGAACTCAGAACAGCTAGCGCGGCCTGTTCGGTATGACTGTCATTTGAAACGAAACTCATGAACTTGGTTAGCAGCCCACGAGGTTAAGGGAAGGGGATTCATGACTTCAAGGTCGGCTCGACTGTACGATAACCCCCTCGGATTGCTTAATGTTGTGATGATACAAACAGATAAGTTTTGTTCTTGGTTAATTGTTCGTGTGCTGAAATTGGGAGGTTTTGTTTTTATGGCAATAGACATGGATAGATTTAGCATGATCTTGAACCTGTAAGAGCGATGGAAACCTACTAGACCACCCAAGGCACTACATTATATATATATATATATATATATATATATATATATATATTTTCAAAGCTAACGCTCATGAGACCTTACAAGTAATGAATTTAACACCTGGCTTGGTAGATAACTACGACATGAGATTGATTATGTACAATAATCGTGAGAAAATTACGAGAAGATATTTATGTACAGCCCAAGAAAATATGGAAACGTTGCAAGACATAAAGAACCTAAGATGATGCATAAATGGTGCCTTAGTATGAACTAAGAAGCAGTTGGTGATGAATTCTCAGCAATGAGTGGAAGCTCGAGAATACTGGTAGATTGTGGAAGTTCTGATCCAGCAAGTGAACTTGATCTTGTTAGCTTAACCTTGATGACGCCCCAGGTAATGTTTACAGCCCCATCTGTCACACATGAAAGTGCCCCAATAAGGAAACAGATGCCCCACTGGGGACCATTCAACCTGGCAAACCCAAAGATGTGATGTGAAATCTCAATGAATACCACCTGCAACACCACAGTCAGAACTGAGGCCACCCAAAACCATAGGTTCTGTTGGACACCCTTGACTAAATTCTTCATTTTCTGCTCACTGGCATTGAATTGGTTGGAAAGTTGGCAGAGAAGAAAGCTACTGAAGATCATGGCTTTGCTAACCTCCTCGTTGATGTTTAGAATAGCTTGCCCTTTGAACTGAAAGGCTAACAAAATGGAAACCTGATAGGAAGCTTGTATGATTATATTCCTCCACATGGCCTTTGTGATGAAAGGTTCCGTTGGTCTGATCGGTGGCCTCTGCATCAGTTTCTGACTTGGGGGCTCAGTTAATAAAGCCAACCCACCAAGGACAGCCACTACCAGGTTCACCCAGATCATCTGAATCCCTGTCATTGGAGCATACCCGAAAAATATTGTGGTGACAGTGCTTATCACTAACCCTGAAATAGTTATGGTGACCTCAACTCGGATATACTTGTGAATGTTGCCATAAATACATCTTCCCCCCTTCAAAATCCATACCAAGAAGCCTAAATTTCCATCCACGATGATCAATTCAGAACTCCTATTGACCAACTCACTACTCCCAGTTCCAGTCACAACTCCCACGTCTGCTTCTTTGAGTGAGGGAGCATCATCTGTTCTGACTCCAACAAATGCTACTATGTGGCCTTGTTGTTTCAGACAACGAACTAGAAGGAGCTTGTCAGCAGGGAGAGAGTTTCCCATCACACGGATTTTATTGACCACATCCTTTCTCTCTTCATCGCTGAAACTTCGAAAAGTTTCCCCTCCATGTTCCAATATGCCTGGGCCACGAAGCATTCCATATTTTTTAGCTATGCCTCCGCTGAAACCTCGAAAAGTTTCGCCTCCATGTTCCAATATGCCTGGCCCACGAAGCATTCCATATTTTTTAGCTATGTCTTCTATTACTGACTCGCTGTCCTCTGAGACAAGTATGATGTTGACACCAGCATTTCTACAAGCTTCAACTGCATCTATAGTCTCTTTCCAGCATTTGTCCTTCAGACCCAGAAGTCCTATCAATATCAAGCGATCATCCCAAGCAGTTTCATCATCTGTTGTCTTATAAGCAAGTGCAATGGTTTTTAGATGCTTGGACTGCATGTCATTAATAATTTCCTCAAAAGCCGACCTTTTCTCTGTGTCCATGTCCACTAGTTTCCCTTCACTATTGTAGTGCCGGGAGCACATTTTCAATATCTTCGGTGCCAGTCCTTTCCAATACAGGAATTTCTTGGTTTCATTGCCTTCTTTCTCCCTCACCAACACTCCATTCCCTTCGTCACCAGGGCTCAACTCTTTCATCCCGATAATGGTGTAACTTTGCTTCAAACTCTCCATGTTAATCCCGAATTTCCGTTCACACCAGGAAATCAGTGATTCCTGATCGTTACCTGAGCTCGTGCTGATACCAATACATAATGCATCCTTAACTTGTTCAGGTATTGCAGAGTTTTCTCTAATTACTGTCAAATCAATCCAACACTCATCAACTTCCTGTGGGTTCATTGTTAGCCAACTAGTTTTGTCAATGCAAATAGTTGTAACTGAGCCCATGGTAACACCTGTCAATTGTTCTTGCACGACAGCCTTGGTGGATGGGATCTTTTTATTCCAATAATAAATGGCGAGCCTGATAAAAATTGGCACTCCTTCTACCACCCCTACCAGGAAAGTAGTCAGGCAAGTTGTCAAGGTACTGATTTTCCCGCTCGGTTTCCAGACAATTCTCTTGATAAGTTCCATAACCTCCTTTGTCTTATGTTCTCCCTTGATTTCTGGCATGCCCGAATCCTCATTTTTCTTTCCAGCTTTAAATCGCAGGAACAACACTACCAAGATAAGAATAGAGGTTGCCAGACCAGCTATTTCTGTGTGGTTGCCCACCCTGTCGAGCTGAACTGATAATCGCCTCTTGCTGGCCTTGCTTATCATCTCACCCAATGTTGTGTTTAGTCCCGTGGATGTCACCGCCCCTCAGTCACCTTGGAACCATAGAAGAGAAATGGATTATCTTTATTAACAATGGATGGAAAGCTGTCATCCAATTTTAAGTCTTCGCCAGATACAAACAAACCATCCCCAGGAATAGGGCACCCCCTTTTCAAGGAAACTATGTCTCCAATCACAAGATCTAACGCTGTTAATTTCAGCTGTTTTCCTCCTCTTAAAACATTGACTTCCATCTCTCTTTTCTCCGTTGTCTCCGCTCTCCTAACAGGTTCTCTGAATTTTCACCCAGAAATCCACGCACAGCTGGAACAATCACAAGTACGATGATTGCAAGGGTTATGAGGACTCCTTCATACCAACCAGTCCTCGGGCCCTCCTCCTTGATCCCGAAGCCAAGGGACAGCGCTGCTGATACAATGAGAAGGAAGATGGTGTGCCTATTGCTGGATTTCATGAGCAACTTCAAGAAGTTTCTTGATGCAGGGACTGGAGTTTCGTAGACTGCATTGGCTCTGTGTCGACTTAGATCTTCAATCTCTCCAGTGATTCCATTCTCTAAATCTGTCTGAAAAGCCTCTGCAATACCTCGGACGCCACCAAATGCATGCAAGGAATGTAGGTCCCGTCCCTTTACTATATTGGCAATGTTTTCATGTTGTTGTTTGATATCGCTCGTTGCATTGCCGACCTCATAATTGGAAGGGATATCAAGACAAACTTGACGTGTTGGTGAGATTTCTTCAATTTCAGGTACCTCCAAGTTCTGGGAAAAAGAGAGTTAATTAGCAGTGAAGGTATTTTCTTACGATCAAGTCAACTCATACAAGCATTACTATCGAGATGGAATAACGGAAAACACATACCCTGTGAGATGGAGATAACAGCGAGACTCCTAGAGAATCAATAGACTCCTTATTGTTGAAGGCTTTGGAGGAGAAAGTGCGCACAGCTAGTATAACCAAAACAACAGGCCGGAAAATCTTTCTTGGTGCTGGAATCGCTGGCCCTGTCTCTTGAGACTCAAGGTCCATCTCCTGACTTATTTCACTACTACTTTTCATTACTTTTAGCTTGATTCTTCCTGCTCAGAAGGAAAGAAGATGATGCTAGTATCCAAAAATAAGAAGGGCCCACGTTAATACAGTTTTAAGAAAACATGGATCAAAATATAGTATAATTTGATATCCTCAAACTGATGTAAGACTAGCCATTGCGCTCTTCATCTAAAATAAATAGCATGCAATTAAGTTAACTATGAAAAATTGATGCAACGACAAGCTTTGTTTCTCCTCGCGTTGTACGCCCTTTAAATCACGGAAGATCGCTCTTCGTAGCTCTAATAGAAATGAAAGGTGGGATCCATATTTATAGATCCCTTGACGGCTAGGATTGTGCAATGAGTTAGAGATGGGACGGCTAGGATTAAGTTAAGAGTTTATTACATTTCGACGCGGAACTCTGCACTCAGGAAGTTTCCTATTTCAATCATTTTCATTTTTTTTCATCGATTACATCAAAGGATAAAATTTAAAAAAAAATTATATCAAGGCCTCGAATTTGTCCTAAAGGATAAAATTAAAAGAAATAATAACTGAAAAAAAAGCCAAAAAGAAAAGGAAAAAAAAATGTTTCAGTCTACTTTCTTTTGTGCTCGGAAGAACAGTATTTTCCCGGTATATTTAAGTTTTTTTCAAAAAAAAATAATTTCATGTGTGAAACCGCGTTTATCAGAGCCTTGCTTTTTTAACCATTGAAGTGGGATCCTTCCGTCAAGCTTCTGATAGAAAAAATATCCATGGAAAAGTCTGTTTTAATTATTACATGAGAGGGTTGGTGCCCATGTTGTCAGGATTCTTAAAATGTAGTCCCTCTATGATCCCTTTAAGAAATTCATCTTTAGGTAGTTTTTGACAAGGGGTTAAAAATGAGAATGTATTATTACAAAAGTAAATTTTTTAAGGGTGTGAAAGAGAGTTAGTTTTTAAGAATATTTGAAAAAAAAAAAAGAATATTTGATGTGTTAGTAAATTGAATGGTAAATAGTTAATTGAACATAAATCATATGGTAAGTAGTTAATAAATCTTACACTCCCTTAAAAAGCATCCCTTCCCTTTTTAATATCACTAACATCCTTAAGATTTACAAGCATGAAATTTAATCCATAAATTATTTTTTTTTCTTTTGATTTTATATAGAGTTTTTTAGTTTCATTATTTTATATTATATTATTTGTCCTCAAACTTTGTTATTTTTTTATTTTTTTTATTTGGTTGTTTCAATAATAAATTGGTAACGTTAACTTGGATTAGTTAGAGTTTTTTTAATATTTTTTTATTTTGATAAATTTTTACTAAGTTTTTTTTAAAAAAATTATCCCAATTTTATATAAAACCTCTCTTTTTTTTTACATGACGTTCGATGATGTGCATGAAAATAATTGCTACGCGTTGTGATTTCTACTTTGAAAGAGAGAAAGCACAAGGAAAGAGCCATTAATTAGGAATCAAAGAAGGAACATGGAAAGTGCCATTATGAATGAAAGAATGCAATACTTAGTTAATCGAGGACATGTTTGCTAGTTAGCTGCCTCATTATTGAGTTGATGATGATGCATATAAAACTAACACAAGCACTAAAAAATTATTTAAAGAGTGGCTCGCCCATTTGCTTTTCCAACTCATTTGACCTATAAAAGTAATCTGCTTTCCTTTTTTTCTTTTTCTTTTTTTTTAATGATATCAATTGTTTAATATTTTTTTTAAATGCATTTCTTTTATTTTAAATTTAATCTTTATATTATATTTATTAGGATTTAGAGTTGGATTGAGGTGGTAATGAATAAATATCTTTGCATCGCATTTGTGAAGTTAATGATCTGACTTTAAAAATTTTTTGTTGTGACCCGTGTTGTTTTTATTTGTGGGTTTTCAAAAGTATTTTTTTTAAAATAGTTTAATTTTATTTTGATTTATTTTTTTAATTATATAGTTAAAAAATAAAAACATGTTATTAGATTTTAGAAAATTCATGGAAGGGTTTGGCTAGTCTAATTTTATTTTTTATTTTTTTATATTCATTTGTTTTCATTTTATTATTTGATATTAAATTAATTAAAAATTAAATTTTATAATTTATTTAATTTTTTTATAAGGTTATTATATTCTTAAAAATAAAAGTTAATAAATAAGTTATTGATCTTAGTTAAGTTCATGATCTAATTTCCAAGTTTAATATACTAATTCGAGTTATCAAATTCATCGGTTTAGCGGGTTAATCACTCAAATTAATTTTTTATTTTTTATATTTTATTTTTTTTCAATTTGGATTGTTTGAAAAATAGATTTATAATTTAATTTTATCTACTTTATATAAAATTATCATGATTTTAAATAACAAATACATTAAAATTGATGGATTATTCACTATAGCTCCTCTTATATTTTTCTATTCATTACTATAGTGTTGTGACTTTTTTATCCTTCACGTGACAATTTACTTGGCTTTAAATTAGAAATATTTTTATTATTTTATACAATTTTTAAATATTATAAATTTATTTGAAGACATTTTAATCGATTCAATATATTCATGAATAGTAAAATAATCAAAACACCTCCAAGTGTAAGAAAATAAAATTTTTTTATCCTTTCACGTGACAATTTACTTGCCTTTAAATTAGAAGTATTTTTATCTTTTTATATAATTTTTTAAGTGTTATAAATTTATTTGAAGGCATTTTAATTGATTCAATATATTCATGAATAGGAAAATAACCAAAACACCTCCAAGTGTAAGAAAATAAAAGATTTTGGATATAAGTATTTTTATTTATATATATATATATAGTAGAATTCTACACATATCTTTGAATTTAATAAATTTAATTTATTAAGGTTAGGAATATTATGGTGTTTTAATCATAATGTTTTTTATTAATTATTAGCCTGGTCAAGGATAGCACATTGGCGGAGGTCGCATCAACTTCAAGGGCTCGAAAATAAACTTCAGTCGTCTCATGTTATTTCTCATCATCGTCTTTTTTTCATTTGAAGTGGCGCGTGGTATCTAGATGGTGTCGGTTTGCCTTCAGTGTGTTTGAATTTAAACTAAGCCGCGTGGCAGGCTTGGATAATGGGACCAAAGAGGTGTGTTGACCAGTTCTGAGAGATAAAGAAGACAACTTGAAGACTTCCACTCCACACACAATAGCTGTCAGTGTCGTCAGATTTTCTCAACCATTTCTTTCTTCAGTTTTATTGTATTTTAATATTAGTTTGTTGTTATTTGATGAAGAAGTCTTTAGTCTTAACTGAGGAAGAACATTCTGTGAATCTTCCAGCATCTTTAGGTTAATTTCATTTCTTCAGTTTATTATTATTTCAAAAATAGTAAAAAAGAAAAGAGAAGGAGTCAGATCAAAGAGAACTTACATAAAGATGATACACGTCGATCAAGAAACTAATAATTTTAATTATTTGTGATAATATATATATATATATATATATATATATAAGTAGTAGTCAATTAATTAACTATCATAAACTAACTAAACTAAAGGGATTAGATTATTATTAACTCTTCATTAATTGCTAACGCCACCGTGTGGTCATTTCTACTCTCTCTCTTTTTCCGCTCTCCCTTGAAAGAAAAGTACAAGGAAAGAATGCAATATTTATTTAAATGAAGGCATTAGCTAGTTAGCTACCTAATTACCCTTATAACCAAAAATCCACAAAAATCATTAAAATAGTGTTTATAATTACTTTCTTGAAATATAAGAGTCGAAGTCAGGGGAGATACAAAGGACTTACACTTTATGTTTTGAAAATAAAAAACACTTGCTTTTAGAATCGTCCAAGCTGTAACAAATTTAATTTATATCTTTGCTTCTATCTCTCTAATAAATACATTTCTATTTTTTATTTTTTATGTATATATTTCTTTTACGTAATATATATCTCATCCTTTTGGCCTCTCGACCTCTTTCTTTATTTTTTTGAAAAATTCTAAGGCAAAATTATGTTATTTTTTAAAAGGGCTCATGTTTTTTTTTAATTTTGGTCTTTTTATTTTTAATTTTTTTAAATAATAAAATCAATTTTTTTTTTAATCAAGCATCAATCTAATGTCAAGATTTTTTTTAGATCGATAACTACATAAAAATTAGATTGAAATAAATTATAAATCTCAAATCTCAATTAATTTAACATTGAAATATGAAATTAAAAAAACAATTGATGACCAAAAGCAAAAAACCAAAAACAAAAAAGAGAACACCAGAGTTGACGCAATAATTTAAAAAAAAAAAAACAAAAGGGTTGTCATTTCTTCTTTATTTTAATTCTGATCCATTTATTTTTAATTTTTTAAATAATAAAATCAAAAAAATATTATAAAATCAAGTACCAACTCAATATGAAAGCTTTTTTTAAGACCTCAATAATCACACATAAAAAAAAATTAAAACAAATCATCAACCCCAAGTTTTAATCATCACAATATCAAAGAATATAATTTAAAAAAAAATATTGACCAACAAAACTAAAACATTGTTCGAATCCTTATTCTTTTGTGCTCGGACAAACAATATTTCTTTTTACTTTTTTTAGTTTTTTTATTTTTTTTTAATTTTCTATGTCAATCTGCATGTAAAAAAACATTGCTTTATGAAACATTGAAGTGAGATGTTGATAAGGTTTCAAAATTCAATATGCTTAGAAATAGAGGTGTTTTATGGTTGTAAATATTATGGGTTACTTAAATATCCATGTTCTCCTTAATAAAGAAAACTTTATCTCGAATGAATGGTTTTTAGTATCTATAAAAATAAAAAAAATTTAGGGATTGAGGATCCTCATATGATAAAATTAGTGATCTTTTAGAGAAAAAAATAATAAATATATGAAAGAGAATTAAGTTAGTACCCTCAATAAGTTTTTTTTTTTAAAAAAGGGCTACCATTTATTCTTTATTTTAATTTTGGTCCCCTCATTTTTTATTTTTTAAACAATATAATAAAAAATTTCACATGCACATATATATATACACACACAAACACACATATACTAGGACTAGTTTCGATTGAGAATTTAGATGAAGGTTTTGTTTGTTTGCTAAAAATTTATTTTTTGAAGTGATTTTCATGGAAAATAGATTCTTGAAAAATAATTTTTTTATGCTTGGTAGTGTAATGAAAGATAAGTTGGAAAATACTTTTCAGTGTTTAGTTATATCATGAGAAATAAAATAAAAATAACTTATTAATATTTTTTATGTTTATTTAAAGAATTAGAATTAAATCTGACAAATAAAAAGTTTGAAAGAGGATGAGATTTAAAAAAATCTAATTTTATAAATTAATTCAAATAAAACAAATAGCAATCAAAATAATAAAAATTAGATGTAATAGATAAAAAGGTTGAAAGATGATGAAATTGAAAAAAATAATATTTCAATTTCACAAATTATTTCATATTAATTAAAAGAATAGAGATCAAATCTAATAGATAGTAAATCTCAATTAAGAAAAGGATAAGAAAAAAAATAACAGTCAAAAGAATAAGAACTAAAATTAATATAAAGTTATAATTAAATTAAATTCTAATAGATAAAATTAAAGAAAAAATGATGCAAAACATAATATATAGCAATCAAAATATTAAAAACCAAATTTAATATAATTAAAAAATAAAAATATTTTTTATTTATTTTTTTGCAACTTCTAAAATGTGTTTTACACCTAAAATAAAAAAGAAACACTTTTATAAAAATGAAGCCAATTTTTTCTTTAATCAAAAAATATTTTTCATTAATAAATTTTATTAATGGTAAACAAATACAAGAAAATAATTGAAAAATGATTTTTTAAAAATTATTTTTCATTAAACGAAAAAATCTAAATTTGACAATATCTATCTAATATCCACTACTTACCAAAGTGAGTAAAAAAAAGTTACCCATCTAAATCAATTCAATTCAATATCCATAAATTTTGAATTAAGGTGCTATTTGGGGTTGTAGTGTAGATTATTTTTCACCAAAATTTAATTTTTTAATTTTTAATTATTTTATAGTAGGTTGATGTTTAAAATAATTTTTAAAAACTAAATAAAAATAATATTTTAATATATTTTTAAATAAAAAAACACTTAAAAAAATGTTTGCCTCGCTTAATTGCTACTATGCAACAAAAAGATACAGGCCTAATCATTCCAATAAAAAAATATTTTATAATGACTCTCAAATTTGATATTCAAAAAAAGCTTAAAGTTCTTGGACTTGATGTTACAGTTGGAACCAAATTCAAGGCTCTTAGATTTAATATTTAAAAGGAGCTTAAAGTTTTTAGGCTTGGTGTTATAGTCAGACCCAGTTAAATTTGGATAAGATTAATATTATTATTATTATTATTATGAAAAATATTAGTATTTGTATTATAAATATTTTTATTTTTATTATAATTAATGTTATTGATATTATAAATACTACTATTTGTATTATAAATATCATTATTTTTATTATAATTAACAATATTAATATTAAAAATATTAGTATTTGTATTATAAAGATTATTATTTTTTATTATAATTAATATTATTAATATAATAATTAATAAATTTGTAAAATAAATCATTAATATTGAAAAACAATCATAGATTTGAACATTATATCTGATTGTTTCCTATCCGCTAACACCATTTTGTAGGCACACCTTACCCAATTCTTAGAGAATACAAACATCTTGTTGTATAGCATATTCATTTATAGTTTAGATTGTATCTGGATTTTAGGTCAGATAAATTTAATATTATTATTAATTTTATTAAATTTAAAATAAAGTTTATTACTATTAAAAAAATATATAGATTTGATTTGAAGGGAATTATTATGATTATTATTATTATCTTGAATCTAACATTCATGTTCAAATCTAAAAACTTTGAGATTGGAAACAACATCTCATTTAAGTTTTCTTGAGAATGACATGAGCATAGATCTAATTTTTTTGGATCTTACAATAATGTTTACGACAATGTTTGACTTAAAACACTTAGATTAGGTGTTTAAATTCAAGTTTGGATTTTGTTGCAACTCTATACTCAACGACCTTAGATTTAGCTATAAGGTTAGGCTTAAATTCTTAAATATTTTTTTATAAATAAATATAATGTTATTGAATTTTAAATTTTTTTAATATTTTTCATATAAAAAAGTTATTTGTTATATAGCACGGAACACCTATTTAATACAGACCAATAATCTTAATAATGACATGATCTAGCAGCTCAACTTAAAAATTTATCAATCCATGTCGGGCTTGATGAGTCAACGGACTCCGCAATCAAAACCAGGTCTAACTTACACACACACATATATAAACACTGTTTAAATTGAACTTATCTCTGTCTTTTTGCTGGCCAGGCCTCTAGTTTAGACTTTGTATGGTTTGTAACTAATCTCAGCTCCGATCACTGCTCGACTCACGAACTACTCATCGGAGCTGAGATTAGTTACAAACCATAAAAAGTCTAAACTAGAGGCCTGGCCAGCAAAAAGATACAGGTCCAGTCATTCCAATAATTCTCCTGAGCAACACGTGTCTGTTTTTTTGTTTTTTCCAAGCCGAAAGTGGAGACTAACTCTGTTCGCGGAATGAATCTATGGCAGACACCCATGGTCATGGAATCTAATGTCACAACTCGATATCTCGCTCTCTCTCTCTCTCTCAAGCAGTCACGACCATGAATCATATAGAGAACTAATGTCGTTAGAATTATCTTAAAGCATACAGATACATGGTCCTACACTGTACCTACTCTGTCATATATTTCATTACAACTCCTTCACTGATTCACGTGATGTTTTGTTTTTATTGTTAATGCCTTTCAATTCATAATCTCGGGTTCTGTTTTTTGGCTAAGATACATTTTATAAGTTGGTTGATTTTTTTTTTAATTTTTTTTTCTGGAGGGGTAGACCTGAGAATGAATGGAGGTCTTCTATGTCTTCTGTTCCTTTTTAGCCTTATGTTACCTTTTGCTTCCCCCTCCTCACACTCTTCTTCATTTCTCCCCTCTTTACTTGGTTTCTTTTTAAGAAGAATAACTCAGGCCTGCTACACTCTTT